TTTCCGATACATATTTCTATTGTTTTTAAAAATAATGAATAAAAACAACACCAACCCAGGCCCTCAGCATGGTATGTGGAGGTCATGAAAAGCCATTTACCATGACCTACTGACACGATTTTGACAGTTACAAACTCCCAGGGTCAAAGGAACAGACAGAGTGCAGAGCAGCGAATTGCAAGAGACTGACGTAAACACAAAGCCAGGGTCACTGAGAGTTTGCGCTAGCCGCAGACAGCCAAGCCAAACAGCCAACCATTTATCCTGCATTACTATTAAAGTAACGTAAAGTTCGAAATTCAACAACAGGAATAGGCTAAATTATCGACCCTCACGCTCACTCCAATTGGCAACCAGGCCACAAGCTACATCAATGAACCATCACCCATCTATTAATTCAATATCAAACGTTATTTCCATGTTTTAATAATTTCTATACAATTTTACCGAAGCACATGACAATCAGAATTTTCCTAAGTCAAAATGAATTCTCTAACCTCCAGACATAAGCGAATAATAAGCAGAGTTAATATAAGGTTAGAGAGAGAGAGAAAAAAAAACAAGCGCACAGTAAAACTGCAACGTAAGCTAAAGAGCCTGGCAACAACGGGCGGGTAGAGAGAGTGGGGGCAAAGGGTGGCGGACCCCGCGCGAGCAGAAATACGGGCGGGGGGAAGAGACTGCCGGGGCTTGGAATGCCAGCATGTCAGCAAAGAGTTAAGTTAAAAGGAAAATTCACAATACCTAATTTCATACATAACATTGGTGTTAACGCCATTCACCGTGGACTATACTCCACTGACACAACTTTATTAAACATAAACTGCATGACTTAAGCGATGTTAAACCCAGGGTCAGAGAGAGAAAGGGATCCCGGCCGTCTTTGTCTCCCCGCAGCGCGGGGTAGGAGTGTGCATACGCTCGGGAAAACACCTTCCCTTGACATGAGTCAAACACTACGATGGAAAGCTGACACAGACCTTGGGTTACATACAGAATCATGGCTGCGGGTGGTGCGATACCAAACTGTGAGGGATACGTGTTAACTTAAAACTTTTTAACCATTCCCTTGTGTGTCGGGGACATGATGCAGGGAGGGAAGCTTGCCCTCCCTCTCGCACCGGCAGACAGAGAGGCGGACAGAGAGACGCCTCCTTCGAGACATTTGTTTTGTCTGTTTTACTTTTTGGTGTTTTATGAAAAGAGGACAATATGCCGTAAATGACGCACACAAGGACACACACTGACACGCGTACGGACACACACATAATACGGACAGATCATGACACAGCAAAAATCGGAAGAAGCTCCGCCTTGTGGGGAGGGTCCAAGTGAAGGGATTTTTGGCATAAAAGAGAACGCTACAACATTGGAAACTCGGTTCGTCCGGAACTCAGCCGAGTTCGGTCGGCTCACCGGAGCCGGCCCATCGGGGCTCAACTCATCGGAGCTCGGCTCCCCATCTCATCTGCAGGTGGGCAAGACCCGCTTGACAGCTCAACTCGCCCCTGCGTGGGTCGGCCTCTGTCGACGCGGAGGCCTCTGCCGCCTGCCGGGGCGGCGAGGGTCGCTGTTTGGCGACGCGGCTACGTGCCGCACCGTGCCTCGCCAGCGCCGGCTGCACAACCGGGTCAACACTCAACATCACCGTGCACGCTGCGAGCGAGCTGTGGGCGCCATCTACCGACCGAGTTCCGCAACTGCAGCGGCGTGTCAACTGGAAGACCTGCGTCATCTGAACCGGTTCACCACGGTGACAGGAGAACCGACTGATACGTATGACGCGCACCGCCCCCTCACCACACGACAAACCAGGCGTCTGTTTGACGTTAAGAATCAACTCCGAACACTGACTATTCAACACAATTTGGATCAGGGAGAAAGACAATCAAACGTGAACCATCTGGCCGTGGAAGCATCGATCGTGTGATAACAGCCCATCGTTTATAAGTATATTCATAATATTCCTTATTTCTAAGTCCTTTTGTTTTGTGATGGTACTTCTAATCACATAAATTACCAACAGATCCCTCAACGAATTGACTCCTGACACCTTCCGCAGAGCTACGCTCACGTGGGGAATGGTGTGTCCCAACGGATCCTTATCAGGCGATCTGGTCCACAATTAATTAAAACTTGGTATAAGATAAAGATCTTCGTGGAAAAAGAGCACACCATCTCCTGCCCTTACTCAAAGCCATTTCTGTAGTCATATAATCTTGCCGATGGATCTATTGAGATTTGTGCCTTTGAGAATAATAACTGTTTTTAATTGTGTTTTTCGTATGAATATCGCCGTATAATCTTTAAGTACCTTTCGTTCATAATCGCCGCACGTACTTGCGTACTCTACAGAATGCTCAACTGTTCCATGACCCAATGTGCTAACGTGATATGGGTTGCATATGATCAATATGGAGTGCGGTACTGCGTGAACAATTCAAGTATAATCATTTATTATAAAGTTACGTTTTTTGTTAGAATAGCTTGCAAGCATGTTTTAACGACTCTCTCTCTAAAAACAATTGCGTTATGCGGGGGGGGGGGGACATATCAAAGTGAAACCACACTGTCGTGATGATACTGTATTGATACCGTGTTGAAGTTCCGAGATTGAGAGTTCACATACTATATTAGAGTTAAGGTTTAATTAGAAAATAAATTGATTAATGCATAAGTGGTCGGGTGATTCTTTCCTATAATTTTTGCATAAGGACTGTATCCTGCGACAAGGTATGAACCTGGGGACCTAAAATATGAACACACTAATCCACTCAATAAACGTTAAAGCGAGAATTGCATTACACTGATTGATAATACGAGGGGAGACGAGGCGGGGCCTGATTATCATAAAGGCTGTCATTAACATAACCACACCCACTCGCATAAATACAATTATCTCTCTAATTAGCATAATGTATAAGCATAATTACCCACATTAGCATAATTTTGGATAAAAATTTTAATTTTATTTAACTTCCATTATTTTCATTAAATTTTCACTTACCGCATATACACCCCCCCCCCTCCCCCCCCCCCCGTGCGTGCTCGCGGGTACGTCATCGGAACGGAATCGGAAAACCAGTGACGCGCGCGCGCACACGCACGCACATCATCTACTTCGAATGGGAAAGGGTGCCATTGGCCCCCTTGCTGCACACACGCACGAATTAACTTATTAAATACCACGACACAAGATGCCCACTTAGCAAAAGCGGCAGCTATGTTATATTTTGAAATGTACCGATTTTCAATGAGAAAACGCTGTGTACATTCGAGTCATGCCTTCACATACAGTCGTGGTCACAAAAGCAAAGTATGTGCGAAATAATAGCCATTTTATATACTTTTTAAGCATAAGCAATTAAATAAATAACACTTACTACCCAGCGACAAAACTCGTGTTTCATAGTGTAAGGGGCCGTCAATAAATGACGTCACGCGCTTTTGGACGATTTTTTACCCCCCCCCCCCATTCGTCACACGGCGTCACAAAAAGTCAGACCCCTCCCCCCCCCTCAAATATGACGTCACAAAGCTCTGCCCCCCCCCCAAAACCATATTTCCATTTTGAAAATAAAACATGCTTCAAATCGCTTTAAACTATTGTCATTGTAGTGCGTATTTAATGTGGCGCTGCACTCTGATGTTGTAGGAGACAACATTTATTTTAAAAAAGTCTAATTAAGTAGAACGTGTTGTCTCTACATTTATTGAAAGTTGCGCATTTTGATGTGACGTCACATTTCTCAAACCCCCCCCCCCGTCACACATCGTCACAAATGTCTGACCCCCCCCCCACCCGAGGTGCGTGACGTCATTTATGGACGGCCCTGAATCGTCCCCGGCGTTGGTGGCCGTGAGCGGGTTCGGAAGGCAACGCGCGTCACTGTTACACGACCGCTCCCCCTCTGCCACACACACACAACAACCACCGTTCGCCACTAAGTGGCGGTGACGTCACCACGACGCTTGTGCCAGGCCATGTGCACCTTGAAGTGTCGAACGCCCGCTGGCAGGAGGTCACGGGGCAGACCCAAGTGCCACGGGTCGACTGACTAAGATGACTGGCTGATGCACCACCTGCGCCCCCTACTGCGCCAACACACAATAACACCACCACCAGCATCGTAACATTAAATAAACACGCGTCACAACACCCACTCATAGCCAAGCCAGGCCCGTCACAGGCCTCTGTGCCCCGCCAGAACACGGTAACACACCGCCCCCACTTCGACAGGTGCCGTGATTGTATAACTTGAACATTCACTCGCAAAAAAAATAACATTGATCAGCGATAAATATACGGGGGGGGGTGTCATATGAGCGCACGATTGAAAAGTGCCCCCAGACCCGCCTCCGACCACGCCCCCAGCCCCAACCACACCCCGCCCCCAGACCAGACCACGCCTCCAACCCCGCCTCCAACCACACCCCAGCCACGCCCCCAGCCACGGTAAAAGTAGCAGCGGTAGTGAAAACAGGAACGGTAGCGTGAAGACCCGAGTGGACGATATTCACTGCTTCACAAATTCGGGCGGGAGGGTGGGGGGAGAAGTAGGAGAACAAGTTGAAGAAATAGGAGAAGAAGTAGAAGAAGAAAAATAATCACGATATTCCAGAAGCAATTCAGGTCCCAACAACAACAAAAATCCACGATAATTTACCCCTCCCGCCCCACGTCTCATCTTGTTTTTGCCGTCTTCGTTCGTGCAGTTCCTCACGCCCCGCGTCCCTTCAAACGCTTCCGCCCACTTCTTCAACGTCGGCAGACGGCACGCACACAATCCGGCGCTTTAGCGAAGACTCAATAATGGCGAACGATAATTCCGAGCGGAACCGGGGCACGGAATTTGCTCAACGATCCCCCGCAGGGGCGTAAGATCGCATTGCGCCGATCGTGATGACGACGACAATTTATTTATTTAAAAGTTCAAATCGTCACCATTTATATATTATTTGTTACTGCCTGCACCACTTTCAATTATTGTATTATTCTGTTTCATTATAAATATTTTTTCCCCTACGATGATGGAGGGGGGGGGGGGGTGGTGGGGGTTGGGGTAACCGCTGTCGCTGCAGCTCAAGGCCGAAGGAGGTCGCGGGCCGGGGGTTTACGCCTTCTGACGTTCTTCGTTTCGTAAGAAAATCTCCTTGAGGTGTCGAATCTTCACCTCGTCCACGACGATGAACAGAGCTGCAGGGGCAACGGAGAGACCGGGAGCACGGGGAAACATGAACGGCGATCGTCGCATTGTTGGTATTGTTTTGAGTGCCGTGAGCCCACGCGGCGGTTAGCGCTACGCTACGCTGCGAACCCGGCGACCCGGGTTCCATTCCCGCTCACGGCCACCAACACCGGTGACGATTATCTGAAGCCGTCCTGGGCCCCCTCCCCTAGGTCGACTCGGCCTTAAATGAGTACCTGGTGCGGTGTGTGTAGTAAACATCGCCACTGGGGGAGACAAAGGCGGCCGGGCGTGGAGCTGGTGGCCACCCACCCCCTCGTGTGCCACAGTGCCGGCCTTCATTAGGTGCTGCTACTCGCTAACAGCCACTTGCCCCGGGCTACACAGGGAGAGATATTTGTTGCGACTCCGTGTATGTGTGTGTGTGTGTACGGGTGTGTCAGCCGTGCCAACTTGGCAGAGGGTAACCCGCAACACCCGAGCCGGTCCCGTGACCTCCTGCCAGCAGCGAGCCTTCCACACATGACGCGACAGCTTCAAAATGCACCTAGCTGGGCACGAGCGCCGTGATGACGTCACTGACACTTAGTGGTGAATATCGGCTGTTGCTGTTTTGGTTTGTGATGTGGGATTAACTCACAGCGATGTGTTGACAACGACAGTGGTGTCGGTGGTAATGATGATTACGTTGCTATTAATGCTGGTGATGGCAATTCAATTCTTTTGCTGATGGTAGTTATGGCGTGATGTTAACTCCCTCGACTGGTATACAAGATCATCATTGGACCTCCTTTGCTAGTACCAAAATATAATAATAGGGTTTTTCCCCTTTTTTCTGCCAACAAAACTGAAACTTTTTAAAAAAATATTTTGGTACTGGCAAAGGAGGTCCAATGATGTAGATGCTTAACCCGAGCCCTCATTACTTTGATAGTGCATTGTCTTTGAGCTGTGTGACGCCTTTTAGCGTCATCTGGTCTAGCACCAATTGAGACTAGGCTCTAAAAAATGCCGTCTCTGGTGTGGGCCAATCAGTTTCAAGGACAATGCATCATCATATTACCAGAGTGTGTTTTTTGTTTGCATTTTGACCGCAAGTATTGTGGTCAATGCACACATGATTCCTCGTAAAAAAAGGTTTCAGTTTTGTTGCCGGAAAAAAGGGGGAAAACCCTATTATTATTATATACACGATGTCGTGGGTTCGATCCCGACCCTGACACCTGCCGCTCTATATTTGGAGTTTGCGTGTTTCTCTCTCTCTCTCTCTCGCCGTGGTCGCGTCGATTTTTGTCCGGGCCCTCCGGTTTTTCCCCTCTGCGTTTAGAATCGACGTCGCGCGTTTAAAGTATTCGGCTACTGCTACAAATTTCCACGTGGCTTGGTTGAGCTGTCACTCGTGATGGCCATGTCGCTTCTGAAAAAGAGCTACGTAGCTCGGTGGGGGCCTTACCTGGTAAAGTAAAAAAAAAAACATTGTTTAGTTTATTCACGGCGGTGATGCTATTCTTGCGTACGATGGCAGCGGCACGTTTCAGGCGGTAAAAATGTCACGGCCTGCTGGCCACTAAAATGACATCGCCGTCGCCGAGTGGCGACTGGCGGCTGTTGTTATGAACGCGCTTGTGTTTGTGCGTACTGCGCGTGTAACGCCCTGGACAGAGTGCTATATGTATTCTAAATAGAGTAGAGTAGAGTGCGCATGTGCGTGTACCGCGTGTGCGCACTACGGTTAGTGCACGTACTGCGTTTCAAGTACTGCGCGTGTGCTCACTGCTCACGAGTGCGTACTGCATGTGCGCGTACTCCTCGTGCGTGTGTTCGTAGCGCATGTGGGTACTGCGCGTGCCTGTACTGCGCACACGTGCGTACTGCGCGTGCGTACTGTCTGTGCGTGCTGCACGTACTCCACGTACGTGCACAAGAACAGGATCCGTTACGTACTGCGTGTGCGTACTGCAGTCACCGAGCGTACTGCGTGTGCGTACTGCGTGTGCTGCGGGCACTGAGCGTCTCGCGTGCTGCGCCTGCTGTGTGTGCCGTGTGTGCCGCGCCTACCCGTGCAGTCGGTGTGCACGGCGCTCTCGTCGTGCGCGAGCACGCGGCACGTCGTGTACACCTTCTTGCCGTCCACCTCGGTCACGCAGGCGTCCAGCAGCACCGTGCTGCCCAGGGGCACGGGGCTGCAGCTCGGACACAGGCAGACACAAAGACAAAGATCCCACACCGTGTAGCCTGTAACAGACTGTAGGGGCAAGTGCTGTTAGCGAGCACACACAAAGACAAAGATCCCACACCGTATAGCCTGTAACAGACTGTAGGGGCAAGTGCTGTTAGCGAGCACACACAAAGACAAAGATCCCACACCGTGTAGCCTGTAACAGACTGTAGGGGCAAGTGCTGTTAGCGAGCACACACAAAGACAAAGATCCCACACCGTGTTGCCTGTAACAGACTGTAGGGGCAAGTGCTGTTCGTGACCACTAATGAAGGCTGGAACAGTACACGAGGGGGTGGGTGGCCAGCACCACCACGCCCGGCCGCCTTAGTCTCCCCCGGTGGCGATGTTACTACACACCGCACCAGGTACTCATTTGAGGCCGAGTCGACCTCGGGGAGGCCCAGTACCGGTTCAGATAATCGTCACCGGTGTTGGCCGTGAGCGGGAATCGAACCCGTGTTGCCGGGTTCGTAGCGTGCTAACCACGACACTGCCGCTCCCCACCCAACAACAACAGCCGCCATTCGCCACGAAGTGGTGGTGACGTCACCACGGCGCTTGTGCCGGGCTATGTGCACGTTGATGCCACGTGAAGTGTCGAACGCCCGCTGACTGTGCCCCCTCCACACACACACACAGAGGTCCCCCGCCGTGTAGCCTTAACCAGGCCGTGCTTACCGCGAGTTGACCGTGCGCTCGCGATGGCGACCGGCCACGAACGATCGATCGTTAAAAACACGCGGTTCTCCCGATTCGCTGATCGGCGGTCTCGGGCGGGCTGACGGGCGGGCGGGCGGGCGAGCGGCAGCAACACGCACCTCCGATAGTCGATGTTGAGGTTCGCCGTCATGATCATCCCGGCGACGTTGCGTGCGCAGGTGCCGGCTATCCCGTCGATGAGCGCGGCCAGAGCACCGCCGTGGACGAAGCTGTGATTGGGGAGACACCAAGCGGGGGGCGGGGAAGGCGGCAGGATGAGGGAGGGCAAGGGAAGGACGCAGACGTACGTACGTACGTGGAACTTCTTTCGAACCGAACGTAGCCTACGGTGCTAATTGGAGGTTCGGGGGAAAGACGACAAAGGACTAAACAACAAAAATCAGCTCTAAACGAATGAGTTCGTCAATCTAGATGACGATTTAAAAGTTGCATAGCTCCGGTGGCTTCCTAATATCGGAAGGAAGAGCGTTCCAGACGGCCGCAGAAGCGCATCTGAAAGCACCGCGCGATGCGGTGACCACCGTTTTTTGCTCGACGGTTAGCCAAAAGTCACTGTTGTCAGGATGACCGGAGTTCGTGTGATGCTGCTTGATGAGATCAGCAAAGAATCGTGGTTCAGGCGTTCCCGAAGCTGCATCCGTAGATGGGTTCTACCTCCCCATGTGAACGACAATTCTGTGTTTGTCTTGGTGTGGTCTGGGACTCGTTGTTTTCCTTCCTTGCCCCAAGTTTGCATTCGGCGTTGACAAATAGGCAGGAATTTATGTACTCATGCAATTCGTACTACCAGACTTAATTCATTTATGTTCTATTTATTTTTGAGCGAGTCACTTGCTTACCTGTTCCATATCTCACTCTTACATCGTTTGTTGCATTGTGCATTGATAGAAACCTGCTGACCCCGTGCCCCGACCAGACATCTGCGGAAATATTCTGACTCTGATTCCGACATATCACTGCGCCACCGATTGTTCTAACCGTGACCTTTAACCGAACTCGCGTTGGTTACCCGGTGTGGACTGCAGTGACATAACCACCTTGCGCCGCCATTCCATCCATAAATTACTTAGAGGGCCACGGTGGCTAGGAGATGTTGACTACCTCGCCTGGTACGCAGGAGGTCGTGGATTGAATCCCGACCCTGATGCCTGCTGTATATTTGGAGTTTGCACGTCTCTCTCTCATCATCATCACGGTGGCTAAGAGATGTTGACTGCCTCGCCTGGTATGCAGGAGGTCGTGGGTTCGATCCCGACCCTGACGGCTGCTGTTTATTTGGAGTTTGGATGTCGCTCTCTCCCCGCGGTCGTGTGGACTTTTCTCCAGGTCCTCCGGTTTTTCCACCGCACATTTAGGAATGGGCGTTCAGAGTATTTGACCGTTACAATGACAAACACAATACGACAAAAAAGAGCTTCATCGGCTCATCAGATTCCGCCTCCAGGAGGAATTACACGCGACCACCGGGTGAGAAACATGCAAACTCCAAATATACAGCAGGTGTCAGGGTCAGGATCAAACCCATGTACGCCTGCATACATGGCGAGGTAGTCAACATCTCTTAGCCACCGTGATGATGATGAGAGAGACGTGCAAACTCCAAATATACAGGTGTAAGGGTCAGGATCAAACCCATGTATGCCTGCATACATGGCGAGGTAGTCAACATCTCTTAGCCACCGTGATGATGATGAGAGAGACGTGCAAACTCCAAATATACAGAGCAGGTGTCAGGGTCAGGATCAAACCCATGTACTCCTGCATACATGGCGAGGTAGTCAACATCTCTTAGCCACCGTGATGATGATGAGAGAGATGTGCAAACTCCAAATATACAGGTGTCAGGGTCAAACCCATGTACTCCTGCATACATGGCGAGGTAGTTAACATCTCGCAACCGTGGCACCCACACAGGCAAAGATAAAGATTCCCTGTATAGCCTTAACAGACTGTTGGGGCAAGTGTTGTTAGCGAGTAGCACCTATGAAGGCTGGCACTGTGGCACATGAGGTGAGTGGGTGGCCAACACCACGCCCACACACACAAAGATCTCTGCCGAGTCGACCTAGGGGAGGCCCAGGACCGGTTCAAATAATCGCCACTGGTTGGCCGTGAGCAGGAATCGAACCAATACCTCAACAATATCACCACCACCACAAAGATCCTCCGTATCCGTATAGCCGCAACAGACTGTAGGAGCAAGTGCTGTTAGCGAGCGCCTATGAAGGCCGACACGGCACACGAGGGGGTGGGGTGCCCAGCACCACGCCCGGCCGCCTTTGTCTCCCCAGTGGCGATGTTTACACTCCGCACCAGGTACTCATTTGAGGCCGAGTCGACCTAGGGGAGGTCCAGGACCGGTTCAGATAATCCGTCACTGGTGTTGGCCGTGAGCGGGAATCGAACTCGGGTCACCGGAGTTCGTAGCGCAGCGTAGCGCTCACCACTACACCACTGTGCTCCCTGCACACGCACGCGCGCACACGCGCATACACACACGCGCACACACACACACCACACACACACGCGCACACACACACGCGCACGCACACACACGCACGCACACGCACACACACACACGTGCGCACCCGGGAAAGCCCTCGAGCAGCGGCCCCGGCTGGAAGATGCAGACGGTGCGCCGCTCGGCGCCGCTGTGGAAGGCGGCGTACTCGAAGCCCGCGCCCACCACCTCCGTGTTGCGCGTGAGCAGACGCTCCGGCCGCGGCTTGCGGGGACGCGCGCGGTACTCTTGAGAGGGGACACGGGTTGGGGGGGGCACGTGGAGGGACGGCGGGGGGGGGGGGGGTGATGATGGGGGGGGAGGTATTGACGGGGCCGCGGAACTCCTCTGCCAGGTGAGGCAACACGCGTGGGCGCCACGGTGGCTAGGAGATGTTAACGCCCTCGCCTGGTATACAGGACGGTCGTGGGTTCCATGCCGACCCTGACGCCTGCTGCTGTATATTTGGAGTTGTGCGTGTTCTCTCACTCTCAACGTGGACGCGATTCTTTTTCTCCAGGTTCCTCGGCGGCGGCGACGCCACCACGGCGCCCGTGCCAGGCTAGGTGCGCTTTGAGGCCACGTGAAAGGTTTGGGAGCCTCAGTGGCAGCGAGCAGGTCGACGAGACAGGGCCCTGGCATGATAGGGCGCTGCGGTGGGGAGATGTTAACGCCCTCGCCTGGTATACAGGACGGTCGTGGGTTCGATCCCGACCCCTGACGCCTGTTGCATATTCAGAGTTCGCGGTCTCTCTCTCTCTCCCCGCGGCCGCGTGGATTTGTCTCCGGGTCCTCCGACTTTTCCCCTCCACGTTTAGAATCGACGTCACCCCATTTAGGAGTTATTCGGCTTCCGCTATAAATGACCACACGACGATAATGACGACGAGCTGCTTCATCGGGCTCTCATTCGTGGCCGGGTCGCTCCAGAAAAAGAAGCTACGTAGAAAGCTCCAGTGGTATCCCGTTACCCGGTATGCCGTTACCTAGTTTACCATTACCTAGTTTACCATTACCTAGTTTACCATTACCTGGTATGCCGTTACCCAGTATTCCACACCTAATATACCGTTACCTGGTATGCCGTTACCTGGTATACCGTTACCTGGTATGCCGTTACTCGCTATACTGTTACCCAGTATGTCGTTACCCGCTATACCGTTACCCAGTATGCCGTTACCTGCTATACTGTTACCCAGTATGCCGTTACCCGCTATACCGTTACCCGCAATACCATTACCCAGTATGCCGTTACCCGCTATGCCATTACCTGGTATGACGTTACCCGGTATACCGTTACCCAGTATGCCATTACCCACTATACCGTTACCTGGTATGCCGTTACCTGGTATGACGTTACCTGGTATGCCATTACCCACTATAACGTTACCTGATATGCCATTACCTGCTATGCCGTTACCCGCTATGCCGTTACCCGGTATGCCGTTACCTGGTACATAAAGACAGCTTCATGGTTTGAGGTGTCCTTGCCCACCACGCTCACCGGCCTCGTGCAGGATCGTGCGGTTGTAGGAGGGCAGCCTCGTCCAGCCGGAGCCTCCACCCTCGGGCGTGCGCGCCAGGTACGCCCGGTAGAGCGCCATCGTGCGCTCCGTCCAGCTGCTGTTGGGCAGGCTGTAGTCGTGCGGCTCGGCGTGCGCCGACGGAGATGCCGCCGCCGCCGCCGCCGCCGGATCGCCGGCGTCTCCGGAAGCGGCCCGCTGGGAGAGTGGGACCACAAAGGCACGGAGACAAACGATAGAGACGCACGTCCCCCCCCCCCCCATGTAGTCTACGCAGGGGTGTCGGGGCAAGTGCTGGGCACGCACAGACGGCTCACACGCTGTAGATGCCCCCGTGTTGGTTTGTAGACTGTTGTGGTGATCTCACACACACACAAACACAGACAAATATCCCCGTGTAGCCTTTAACAGACGGTTGGGGTGAGCGCAGTGCCACACAGAGACACTCACATACACAGAGAGAGACACACACACAGAGGCACTCACAGACACAGAGACGCTCACATACAGACACAGAGAGAGACACACACACATACACAGAGGCACACACACAGAGAAACTCACATACAGACACACAGAGAGAGACACATACACAGAGGCACTCACACACACAGAGACGCTCACATACACAGAGAGACACACACACACAGAGGCACTCACACACACACACAGATAAACTCACATACAGACACACAGAGAGACACACACAGAGGCACTCACAGACAAAGAGACGATCACATACAGACACAGAGAGACACACTGAGAGGTACTCACAGACACACTCACATACATACCGACACACACACACACACAGATACAAAGACAGACACGTAGTGATACTGACATACACACACAAAAGAGAAAGATAAAAAAAGACTTTTCGGGGCAAGCCCCTTTAGTAAATAGCAGCACCAATGACGGCCGGTATGGCACACAACACACCCGGCCACCTTTGTATCCCCAGCGCTGATATTAACTCACCGCAACAGGTACTCCATTTGAGGCCGAGTCGACCTAAGGGGAGGCCCAGAACCGGTTCAAATATTCACTACTGGTTGTTGTTGGTCGTGGAGGGGAGGGAGGGGGGGGTGGCTTCGTAATGCGGTGCGGTAACCACCGCGCCACCGATCCCAAACACAAGTAAAACCCCGGTTATCATTAACGCTTTTGGCAATACCAATACCCCGCCATTCGCCACGAAGTGGCGGTGACGTCACCACGGCGCCTGTGCCAGGCTACGTGCACGTTAAGGCCACGTGAAGCATCAAACGCCCGCCGCCGGCAGGAACGGTCACGGAACAGACCCAGGTGGTGCCATGGGGGATCGACAGACCGAGATGACTACTGGCACAATGCACCACCACCTGTGCCCCTCCCCCCTCCCGTGTCAACTACTGTGCGAGTGCGCGCACACACACGCACGAATGTCTAAGAGAAATAATCGCGACACCGATACGGGTGGGTGGGTGTTGGGGGGGGGTCAGTGTCGTGAGCTCCCACCGGCGTGGCGACATGCTGGGTCCGTACACTGGCACAGAGGTCACGCGGTGTTGTTCATGGCACAGGGGCTTCAAAAAAAAAAACAATGTTAACGCTTATTTAACGGGACTAACGTTGTTTTTTTGTTAATGTGATAACAAAAAACGTACGTTGACAACTTAAAAAAGTCCAAAGAGTCTCACATCCTGCCACCAGTCCCCCCCCACACACACGCACACACTTGTTCGCCATCATTGTGAACGCGTTGCCAAGACTTTGCTGTTTTTGTTCCTGCATTCTTCTGTTGCGCTCGTGTCTTTTGCTTGTTGCGGTTGAACCCGTTTCAAGAGCCGCATGCCTCGCAGGGCTATACCTCACAAATGAGACTGAAAGCCGAGCCCGGAGTCTTCCTCTGGGTGGATCTCCATAGCCCGGGAGGCACATTTCTCGTGGCGCTCTTGCAAATTCTCACAAGTGTTCAAATTTTTACACGCTTTTATTGAACTCACTCTTGTCTGTTGTTGTTGCATCCTCAAATTTTGTAACTCAATGTTAACCCACTTCCCAATGTGGTATCGACTGCAAACTTGATGTACTCATGTCACGCTGATGACAATACTATATATTCCAGCGAAAACAAATATTTGTAAACATTCTTTTATATATTCTTGGTTCTTTCGGTAAAGTCACGTAGAAGGGAAACAATAACAAAATAAAAATATAAAACAATAAAATTCTCACGACGTTTCGACTGCAACACAAGCAATCATCATCAGATGTGAAAACCACAGCAAGAATTTTTTTTTTTCAAATTTTTTCAAATGATGTGTTGCAGTCGAAACGTCGTGAGAATTTAATTGCTTTATATTTTTATTATTTTAGTGTTTCCCTTCTACGTGGTGACTTTACCGAAAGAACCAAGAATATGAATCCCTGCAGTCACGAAAGCTTCAAATCAAAATCTTGATTTGATTCAAGATTGATTTGAGGCTTTCGTGACTGCAGGAATCCATACTCTTTTGGTCCTTTTGGTAAAGTCATCACGTAGGTAGAAAAATTAAACAAAATAAAAAATTATATATCACTAAATAAAAATAATATATTTTTACCCTGTATATCGCACCGCACGGTAAACACACTGGATCTAATATCCCAAAGGAGGGATGGAGGGGGGGGGGGCGGGAAAAACCTGCATCTTTAGTGAAAGGAATATATAGAATACGGAGGTCTCCATGATAACACCAAATAGCTCCTGTTTTTATTTTGTTGTTGAAAGGAATTCAGTCCAAGAGATTGCCCGCTCAGATGAGCCGCTGGGAGCATTGATTGGCGTCGATCTGACTATTTCGCGGCCCTGAGCCAGTGTGGCAACTCCACCTTACCGTGGCGGGGGACGAGTCCGCCCAGAGGGCAACCAATGTCGATTAGCCTCGTAAGCGGCCACTCGTTTTTTTTATTTGTAATCGACGACGATCGGATGAGGCGCCGAGTCGGACTCCAAACGGCGAATTCAAAATCAAGACACAATAGCGAGCGGCCGCTAAATCACATCGCGAAATTCCTGTCACCATTGGAAGTTACCCACCGGTCTCCCGCCACAGTAACGTGGAACGTCCACTGCTGTTGGAGCAGGGCCCGCCCTCAACCTCTCCCCCCCCACCACCGCACACGTATGGAGAGGTTTAAGAAAACTTTTAAAACGACCTTGAGAGTTAATTTGATACATTACGGGGTACAGAGAGGCACGTGCTGCATCACCACCAACCATCATCACCACCACAACAACCAACCACCACCACAACCAACCATCACCACCACGAAACAACCACCACCACAACCAACAAACCACCACAACCAACCATCACCACCACCAACCAACAAACAACCACGAACCAACCATCACCACCACCACCAACCAACCACCACAACCATCACCACCACCAAACAACCACCACCACAACAACCATCACCACCACCACAACCATCACCACCACCAAACAACCACCACCACAACCAACAAACCACCACCACAACCAACCATCACCACCACCAACCAACAAACAACCACGAACCAACCATCACCACCACCAACCAACCACCACAACCATCACCACCACCAAATAACCACCACCACAACAACCATCACCACCACCACAACCATCACCACCACCAAACAACCACCACCACCAACCAACCATGACCACCACCAACCAACCACAACCACCAAACAACCACCACCACCAATCACCATCACCACCAACAAACCATCACCACCACCACAACCAACCATCACCACAACTAACCATCACCACCACAACCACCACCACAACCACCACCACACCTGGGACTGGAGTGGAACCGACCGGGGCCTTGTCATCATCGCCAGAATCCGCGGCACCGCAGCCCAGCGGCAAATCGTCCTCGGCCACAGCATAGCCGGAGATTGCGGTCAGAGAGAAACAAAATAAAGGAAAGTTAAACCCCACACCCCCCACTACCACAACCACCACTTATTAACTAACTAATTAACTAAATTAAGCCGCGCCAAAACCTGCAAACCCGGTCAGCTGTGAGTGACCGGCCGCGAGTGAGTTCATTCAAGTCACGTGGTGGGGGGGCGGGAACGTCGTTTCGGGTCCACGCCCACTTTCGCCTGACGCCGCCACTTCGCCACGCCTACTTCGACGAGGCGCACGCCCACCCCCAGTCCACCTCGCCCAGCTCTCGAGAATGATGGGGGGCGGGGAGTGGAGATGGCCCCGCCTCCACCACCACCACGCGCCCACTCGCGGGGACGTCACTCTCAATGGGCGTAGCCACGCCTATACTGAATTATGAAACTCGGGCCACGCCCCTCTCCGCCCCGGATTACGTCGACCGCGCGTGACCACGCCCCCACCCTCACAATGCATAACGGGACGGACCACGCCCCCGCCCCCCCTTCCACTTCGTGACATTACGAAATATCCCCCCCCCCTTTTTTAACGCGTGAGTGGCAATCCCCCACCCCCCGCTTTATTCTCTCTACAGGTGGGGGAGGGGGGTGTCCGGAGATGACCCCTCCGCCCACTCCTGATGACGTCACGCCGAGTGGGCGTGGCCACGCGCACATTATGTTATGAAACTCGGTCCACGCCCACCTCTCCTCCCCTCACTTCGTGACGTCACGAAATAGCTCCTCCCTCCCTCTGCCCACCACCCGCCCCGCGACAGAATGAATTATAAATTATGTTAATTATGAGGGAAGCCAATCAGCGTCAAGGGGGCGGCCCGGGCTATTTCGAGCCACACCTTGCAGGGCTCACGAGTGACGTCATCACATCTACCCTCCTCCAGCCAAGGAACGAATCAGGAGGATTTCTCCACGCATCTGGCTGTCGCCTGATGATGCCGGTTGCAATTCCTGGCGAAACGTCGTACTCAGATTGTAAATGTTGTGCTTTGCTCTCCAACACACAACTAGTGCAATGAGAGAGCACACCGACATACGGAGGGCTGCATAGGCATTGCCGCATCGGTCATAGCCAATCAGGGCTACGGGTTCGATCTGGGCCAAAGTTCATGGGCGGAGTTCAGGGGTATGTGCGGGAACCATCGAGAAGGTTCTGAAGGGGGCGTGGTTAGAGGCGGGGCTTCGCTCCGCCAAGGAGGATATAAGGAGAGGCAGGAGGAGGGCTCGGGGTTCGGTGTGGGAGCCTGGGTCCGGACTGCATCTCGGCCATCTCGTCAGCCACCGACCACGTGGCAGTGGCGGGTGAAGCTCTCCTGATTCCCAGCACGCCGTCGACCAGCGGTGCGCGGGGAAGCGAGAGCGAGGGAACAGAGGAGCAGAGAGCACGTGCATGCGGCGAGAGAGGGAGGGTGGCCATCTAAAGAGAGTGCGGAGCTGAGCAGTCATCTTCTCAATATATATAAAAGGCAAAGTTGTGAACGTGTGTGTCTGTTAAAAATGTTTAGCCTACTTCCCGACATGCAACAAACTTGAAATTTGCCATGTGGGTACTTTCCAGACTGTACACCATGCAAACATTATGAAAATACACTTTATATTCTTGGTTCTTTCGGTAAAGTCACGTAGAAGGGAAACAATAAAATAATAAAAATATAAAAAATATTTTTCTTATTTTATTGAATCCCTGCAGTCACAAAAGCTTTAAATCAAAATTTAAAATACACTTTTGTTATTTTTTTAGGGGGGGGGGGAGCTCAATAATGCATATATTTTTTGCACGGCAAGTGAGTTGTGACGTCAAAGCTGTCACGTGACCCGCGCATGTGGAAGCTTAACGCATTGTAGTGTAGAGGTTAGCGCGCTGTGTATGTGTCTGTGTGTGTCTGTCTGAGTGTGTGTGTCTGTGTGTGTGTGGAAGCGTAACGCATTGTGTAGCGGTTAGTGCGCTGCGCTACGAACCCGGCGACCCGAGTTCGATTCCCGCTCACGGCTACCACCGGTCGCGATTATTTTAACCGGTCCTGGGCCTCCCCTAGGTCGACTCAGCCTCAAACGTGTAAATGGTGTGTTGTGTGAACGTCGCCACTGGGGAGACAAAGGCGGCCGCCCGTGGTGAATCCAAGTCACGTGCGAAGCCGGGGTAGTACTGCAGCTAGTAACTAAAAGAAAGGACGCAAGTCTCAACGTGTCGTGGAAGTCGTTTATTAAACTAGTAACGAATTGCCACGTTCTGTTCACGTGACAAACCTTAACTGGTGGCGGGTTTAACGATTGCAGTGAGCCACGGAGAACGTGGAGGGCCAGGTGTTTGGTGGTAAAGGGCCGTCCATAAATGACGTCACGCACCTGGGGAGGGGGGGTGGTCAGACATTTGTGACGATGTGTGACGAGGGAGGGGGGGTTTGAGAAATGTGACGTCACATCAAAATGCGCAACTTTAAATAAATATAGACAACACGTTCTGCTTAATTAAATAGACTTTTCAATGAATGTTTTCTCCTACAACATCAGAGGGTGTCGGGGCGACTGCCCCCCGTCTCCCCGTTCTCCTGTGCCCCCCCCCCCCGCTCTCCTCTTCTCCCCCCCTCGCTACTGCTCCTCGTGGCATGATTTAAATAGCTGCACTAACCGCCTCGCAAATACACCGCGGTGCCCTTCTCGTACCCGCCAACCACGAGCTGCACAGCGGCGAGAGTGCCCACGTGGGCAGAATAAACAGGACACCACAAACGCACGGGTTCACAACACCAGGCACCCCCCCCCCCCCCCCCCCCCCCCCCACTCCGTACTCACAGAGACAGCACGACAAAGTTTAATGTCTACTGCCAATTTATTCCTCGATTAATGAAGTGTGGACCAGCAGGGCAGATCTAACCTATCTCTCTGCGGTCTAAGACTCAATTAGCATGACCTCTCCCTACTCACTCTCTCTATTAGATATTCCCCTTTGCCTTACCTCTCCTCTTCGTACTTACGATCCGACCCCGTGGTGTTGAAAGACGAGGCTGCACGTGGCTTTTGCTGGGAACTGGATCTGGCTGCTCTGCGACCCGTCTCACGGACGTTCGAGTAGCAGGGGACGATCACTCCTCGGTCCCTCACTCCAACAGACCCCGGGCAAAAGAGGCTTTGCTCCTGATTTGTGTCCCTTTTTATCCTCTTACGTCAAAGCTAACCCTCTTGGCCAATCGGGTCAGTCCCCTCTCCGAAGCCCGCCCCCTATTGGTTAACAAAGCGCACGGCGCACTGGATGTCCTGTACCGCTCCGACACACGTGCCGCGGCGAGGTCTCTGTACACGTGGTGCAGAGACGAGGGCCCCCCCTCCTCCGGCTCTTCCTGTCGCTCGCTACTCTGCCACACTCCCCACCTGCCTGCCGATCCACGTGTGCCCTGGGTGTTTTCTCATTGCGGCTCTCAGTGAGTTCGCCGTGGCCATACAATTTTAGGTTAATCCACGGCGCCGCAGTGTCATTCGGCCGGGGGGGGGGGGCTTGCCAATTCCCTGGCCCTGAGAAACCGTGGGGGACCCCCACGAGGGGGGCCCTCGGGTATCAACTCAGGGGCAGGTGACCGCCCCCCCCCCCCACGAGGCCCTACGTGAGTGCGTTCATGTGGGGGGTGGTGGGAGAGGCGCTGTGACAGGAAGCCGGGTGGCTTCTCTGCGGCAGCAGGCCCGACGCAGGCACGGCCACCACGGAGCGGCTTCGCTGTCGTGGGCAACATCAGAGTGCAGCGCCGCATTAAAAACGCACTACAGTGACAATAGTTGAAAGGCGATTTGAAGCACGTTTTATTTCGATTTAAAGCTTTCGTGACTGCAAGGATTCATCTTCTTTGGTTCTTTCGGTAAAGTCACCACGTAGAATGAGAATAAAGTAATAAAATAACACGATAAAATTCCCCACGACGTTTCGGCCACAACGCAAGTGGCCTTCTTCAGGTGAAAGGAACAAACCTGTCGGGACGACAGCTCTGTCATCCTGACACCTGAAGAAGGCCACTTGTGTTGTGGCCGAAACGTCGTGAGAATTTGATTGTTATTTTATTATTTTATTCTCATTCTACGTGACTTTACCGAAAGAACCAAAGAAGATTTGAAGCATGTTTTATATATTTTTTTGGGGGGGGGGGGCAGAGGTTTGTGACGTCATATTTGAGGGGGGATCTGACTTTTTGTGACGCCGTGTGACGTTGGGGTGGGGGGGTGAAAAATCGTTCAAAATCGCGTGACGTCATTTATGGACGGCCCCTATACAGGAGGTCGTGGTGGGTTCGACCCCGACCCTGACGATGCCCGCTATATATTCGGAGTTTAACATGTTTCTCGAGAAACACGCGTTTAAAGTGTTTGGCTCCTGCCTATAAATCGATTGTCCACGTGATAAGCCACTTGGCAAAACTATCAACGAAAGAACTAAGAGCTCCGGTGGGTCCTTACCCTGTAAAATAAAATAATAATAAAGTTTAGTTTAAATGTCCAATTGCGTTCAGTGATCACCTTAGGCGCTGTGACGATTATTTCCGGCCGGATTCAGAAGCAGCTGAACACAGCGAACGCGAGGAACGCGTCACACGTGGGAGAGTTTGTTGCCGTTTGTTGCTGTGAGATTGACGCCCATTGAAGAATTATTGTCCTTGCTTTGTGTAGCCACGAGGTGTCAGCCGAGTGACGTTACAGCGAGTTAGAGGGGGCGGGGAGCGGTGGTGCAGCGGTTAGCGCGCTGCGCTCATAAACCCAGCCGCTCGTTGTTCGATTCTCGCTCACGGCCACCAACACCGGTGACGATTATCTGAACCGGTTCTGGGCCTCCCCTAGGTCGACTCGGCTCTCAAACGAGCGCCTGGTGCGGTGTGTAGTGAGCATCGCCACTCGGTGAGACAAAGGCGGCCGGGCGTGGTGGTGCTGGCCACCCACCCCCTCGTGTGCCGTGCCGGTAGCCTTCATAGGTGCTGCTACTCGCTAACAGCACTTGCCCCTACAGTCTGTAAAAGTCTTTATGGGGAATCTTTGCGTTGGTGGTGATATTGTTGAGATGTTGGTTACCGTAAAAAGTGACATTACAATTCCACTATAACCAGGTACATTTAAAAACTAAACATTTATTTTTTGTATTTTAGGGGCCGCCCATAAATATAACGTCACGCGATTTTTGACGATTTTTGACCCCCCCCCCCGTCGTCA